GGCCGCCCACCGCGCCCTCGGTGCAGGGCCTGAGTGCATCCTCTGCAGACAGAGCAAGCGGAGGCCCAGCACTCACGCTGCCAGGACATCAGACACACACGGGCCCCGGGGGAGCCCCGGCCTGAGCCCTCGCCCAGGACAGCAGGGGCACCTGGCAGGGCTGGGGGGATCCTGAGGCCTCGGAAAGCTCACTGCGCGGGAACCTCTCTTCTGATGTGGGTCCAGGCTGGAGAAACCCAGCTCATTTGAAGGACAGCAGTGCCCTTCGGGCCTGGCTCCCAAGGGATGCCTGACGCCCAGCCCACCTCCCTCCCTCCCCTGCCCCACAGCACCCTGCCTGCCTCATCCACTTGGCAGTCTGTCCCGATATCCTCTCCCCCCACAAATCTGTGAGGTATTGGGGGACAAAGGCTGCATCTCACTGCCCCCTGTGTCACCAGGGTTTCTAGTCCACATACACATCCAAAGAGGAGGGACAGCAAGCTGGAGAGAGCAACCAGGGGAAGAGAAAGAAAAAGAGGAGAAGGCAAGAACAAGAGGCAGACCTCCTCGTTCCCCACCCGGGCCCGAGGGTCCGGTCCTGCTCCGCCCAGGCACACAGTGCGGGGCAGGGACGGGCCTTGGGCTCCTGCCAGGGCTGAGGAGCGGTCTCAGCGTGAGCTGGAAGCCGGTGCGGGAGCCAGACCGCCTGCCCAGGACCCGGGCCCCCCACGTCCAGAGTGACCTGAGGCACATCCCGAACCGCACCTGTCAGTGGAGGTAACCACCGTACCCACCTCATTTGGCTAACGAAGGGTTTAGGACACAACAAGCATGAGCTTTTATTATTTTAGGTAAGAACCAAGGCTTTGAACATATCCATGGCTCAAAACACTTGATGAAATCCCAGAATGCCAGCGCTCCAAGGGGCCTTAGCCATGGTCACCTACACAACCTGCTCATCTCCCAGGTGAGGGGAGTGTGTGCTGAGGTCACCAGGTGAGGCAGAGATGGGCCCACAGGCAGGCCTCCTCTCCCAGCTCACCTGCTCACTCACGGGGTAGTCATCCCGCACCTCCCAGGAGTGTGCCAGGTGCCAGCGCAGGGATGGCCTGGGCCCTGTGGTCTGCAGGGACAGGGATATGACGAGGAAAAGATGGGAGGGCAGCCCGCCCGTGGCTCAGTTGACTGGAACGTTGTCCCATACACCAAAGGGTTGAGGGTTTGATCCCTGGTCGGGGCGCATGAGGGAGGCAACTGATCGATGTTTCTCTCTCACATCGATGTTTCTCTTTCTCTCTCTCACATCGATGTTTCTCTCTCTCTCTCTCTCTCCCTCCCTCCCTCCTTTCCTCTAGGAGGGGCAGTGAGGAGGCGAGTGGCGCTGTGCCACGGAGTGGATCTGGTTAAGATGCTCAGCAGAGGCTTCCTAAGAAAGTGACACCTGAGCTGAGGACCAGGCACGGGAGGGGCCAGGAGGCGAGGAGATGACGAGAAGCCTTCCTGGCAGAGGTCGCCACTTGGACGAGGACAAAAGTCTGAGGAAGCCTCACGCGACTGATGGTCCCCCGCACCCCCAGAGAACTCCGGTACCTTCCAGCATCAGAGCCCTATTTACTTGAGGAGACCCCACGCTCTGAGGGCAGCGCTGACCCCTCAGGTCTGCCTGCAGGGCCCTGGGGGCTAGCAGTCCACACACCAGCAACAACATCCCTCTGCGAGGCATTGGGGAGGCACGGGGTCAGCCAGCGCTGCAGCAGACACAGGCAGGAGGACCAGGAGGCGTGAGCGGGACCATTCACGCACCTTCTGCATCCACCGTCTCCTTCATGACGATCTCCACCCGCTCCACCTGGTGCCGGTTCCACAGGCCGTCCAGGGCCTTGCGGTTCTGGTCTCGGAAAGGCAGGATCTGAGCCACGGCCTGGCGGGGAAGCAGACGGGTGTGCTGCGGGTCCTGGGGCGGAGGAGGAGCCCGACTCCCAGGAGGGGCCCCACCCCCTTCTCCGAGGAGAGACGCTCAGAGCGATGGCCCCTGGGCGTCAGGCTTCCCGGCCAGGAAGGACTCCAGATCTTTAGGTGCCCTCTGCGGGGCCACCAGCTCTTTATTTTGCCAGGAAAGGAAACAGGTAAGATTATCTTTTGCCTGTTAGCATCAACATTAAATAACAGAAAGCTACTGTAACACCAAAAATGGAATAAGGAAAGCTTCAAGTTGACATTCAGTGCTATTTTTTTCATTTTCTCATAAACAAGTGAAATCTCCCCGGGACAGGCCTGGTCTGAGGACCACTCTGGGAATACTGAAACTCAAATGGGGCCTGAGGGTTGGCGTTTCCGGGGGGAAGTGTCCTAACGGGGGGGCTCCGAGGGCAAGGGCGCAGTCAGCTGCGGTGCGTCCCCGGGCCAGCCCCACACTCTGCCACAGGGCCCGAAGGAGAAGCATGGCCTTGGGGCCCTATTCAGTTGTAAGATCTTGCTGCCAGCCTTCTGGCTCAAAACAGAACCCAGCAAGAAAAAATACTGAAAACCAGGCCAATGGGTGTGGAATAAGGTGATCAATTCTAATTCCCACAGCATACCCAGCCAGAAGCCGGGCTCACCCCAGTGTCTCGGGGCCACCTCCGGAGGGGACACAGGGCACCGCTGAGCGATCAGAGTCCGGCCCCTGCCGGGAAACAGGACAGGACACGTGGACAAGGGCCACGCAGACCTGCTCACCATCTGCCCTTCACCCCCTCACCCCCTACCCCCCTGCAAAACGACCACGGAGCGCAGGTTTCACACGCCTTCAGGCCCAATCCCACAGTCGGTGGTGTGGCCCCGTCAACGGGTCGACCTGTGCCCAGCTCACTCTGGCCCAGCAGGCTCACCTGCTTGCCCAGGTAGTGGTCCACCCGGTACATCTCCTCCTCGTGGAAAAAGCTCCCGAGGTCCGTGGCCAGCTGCTGCGCTGACAGGTGGTTGTGGCCGAAGGGCTTCTCCAGGACGACGCGCAGCCAGGCGCCGGGGCCCGGGCGGCAGCTGCTGTTGATGCTGCGGGCGATGTCCGTGTAGGCGAAGGGCGGCACGGAGAAGTAGAAAATGCGGCCCGCCTCCCAGAGGCCCTCGCGCTGCACCAGCGCCTCGATGTCCTTGCTCAGAGCCGCGTAGTCCTCCGTGGTCTTCAGCTGGCGGTACTGGCTCAGCCGCTGGAACTGGTCCTTGAGTTCAGCACAGCGAGCGGGTGCCACATCCTTGGGACAGGAAAGGGACTCCAGGACCTTGGCCACGACCTCCTGGCCCTGCTCGGTGGCCGTCAGAGCAGTCCCATGGAAGCTGAAATTGTGGCCCTTCCCCGCCTCCTCCAGGTACAGCTGGAACAGCCCCTGCCACAGGTACTTCTTGGCCAGGTCCCCAGTGGCTCCCAGCAGGACTATGGAGACGTGTCCCCGCAGCTCCTGGGCCCGCAGGCAGCCCAGGAGGGCCACGAACACGGCCACCGCCAGCATCCTCCACAAGCCCGGACGCCTGGGAGAGACACACAAGGAACAAGGAAGGATCAGACATGCTCAGGTGGCATAATGGGGGGCGAACACGATTCCAGGCTATCGAACATTTCCTGCCTGGCAAGAAACAGCCACGTGTTTCTCAGGAAACTGCTAGTCCCCGCGCTTCCCCCCTCCTCAAAGCTATGTTAGTGCCAGGAAGCCGGCGGGTAGGCAGCGTGCTCTGTAAACAGGACTCTGCCCGGGAAGGTGGCAGGCCACTGGCGGAGGCAGAACGTTTTGCTGCAGGAGCATGGGAAGGTGGCACAAGCCGTGAGGGAGGCCCCAGGGCTGCCATGGGATCAGAGCTGTCCACCTCATGACCACGGCCCGTCTCTGCCCGGCGCACAGGCTGCCTGGACCATCAGGGCAGCTCAGGGCTGGTGGCGGGTCCTTAGCTGGTGGCTGGAGCTGTGAGATGCTCAGGCCTCTCCCATCTCCCCTGGCTTCTCCCACGTGCACTGGCTCCAAGCACACTGTGAATACAGGCCATTGCCACCCACGGTGGTAAAAAGCACAGACCGGAACCAGAGGACGGAGTTTGAATCCCAGCTCAAGCCTCACCTTGGACAATCATACAGCCTCTCTGTTCCTCGGTCTCCTCACTTGAAATGGGAGTATTAGAGGTACCTACATCCATGGTTGTTACAAGATGACAGTGAGTTAATATTTAGATTGTGCTTGGGACAGTGCTGTGTAATTATCGTGGTATACTAATTAATAAGAGCAGCAAACCTGAATGCTAACACGTTCCAAGCATGAACCTGATGCGTGTGAGCATTAGATCTCACGGAATGCTGTCAGGAACCTGAGAAGACCCAGTGGTGAGTCCCACCTCGTCGCCCTCCTGCAGGTAGAGGAGCCGAGGCCCGGGCAGCTGAAGGTACCCAGGTGAGAGGTGGGGGAGCTGGACAGGCACCAGCCCCCTGGCTCCTGAGCTGACCACACAGCAACGGCACGCGGCCTCCCCCAGGCGGGCCTCCCACCGGGCTGGTTTCAGCCTAGTCTGGAGCAGCTGACATTTATGAAAGGAGAGAGG